ATGGTGTCAGTTGTGGTAAAATACTTCCTAATAACCTCTCTTCCGGTTCTTTTCCCCTAGGAGTCCGAACAGGGGCCGGAAAGTTCATATAATACGTCCAAACTTTTCGAGACGCTCCTCTAAGATATGTCCCATGGGACAGCTCGAGAAACTATTAAATTTTGCTTGCTATTGGAAGTTATTCCTCGACTTCATATCCTGGAAATTTTATCAGACAACCAGGCCCATGTTTTCGATGATCTTTCCACCCGGGACTTCCATTGGCTCATTCAATATTAGTTAATCATCGATGTTGCTTTCTAATATTAGAAGCTTTTCGCATCGTGTTTCAATGATTATGAAATTATATGTTTGTTACAAAAGTGTGTTTTAAAAAGTTGTTCTAAGTAGTACGAACAAACTTTACCCAATGCCAGAAAACACTGGACGTGATTTAAAAACTTAAATTTACATTTTCAAGAAAGATGAATGCTGATTTCAACTCTGGTCGGCTTTACTTAAGTGCTTTTTAGCGTTGAGCAGTGAATAATGGCAAGAAAATACGGTCATGTTTCTGGAACAGAAATGATCGCAAATCCGAATATATCCATAACTCATTTCGGCAAATTCAACCCAAGTTTAAATCCAAACCGGACTAGTCAATATTTACGAGTCCTCCGGGATGTTCATGAAATATTCGGAAGCGTTTTAGATATTCCCTCAGTTCGCTTTCGCTCTTCGGGAATTTCAACAAATTATTCAATTGAGTTACGATTGGTTAATGGAAAACGATTTCCGGGTCGGCTTCTACACGAATTGCACTTAATTTTAGGTAAATACGCCCTGCGAACGATTCTGTTCGAAGCCTTTAGTTTTGTATATTTATGCAAATCGGATGCAGAAATATATAGAGTGTGTCAAAATGTCCAAAGAAATGATAAAGATTTGGTCGAACATTAACAGAAGAAAACATGGTTTTTGAGATGGTTTAGTGTCCATACATTGATTTTTAGTCTGATGATTCGTTCCTGAATTTTTAAATATTTCAGTCAACGCCCGATCGTATTTCTGGCTTTGATTGAAAAAGTCAAAAGCGAAACTTTAATCCAACTTTTTCCTGAAGCTGTGCAACTTCTCTAATGATCTATCCTGCAGTTTCATCGACAGATTAGCTAAATTTTGGGTGGGAAGTGCCTTTCACAGTTTCCCTATCCTCCTCTAAACCACCCTGTCTCAGAGCTAATAATTTGAAATTGATTGAAGAAACGGCTATCGTTTACACTGGTTTCCTGACCTGGATAAAAGCAAATTTTTTTTAAATCGCGCTTGAAAAATGTATTAGTTCTGACAGGTTAATTGATATCACCAGGTCGGGCGCGTCCACCTAATTAATACCTTCCAAATTGATAAATCTGCCTTGCAAATGTCAAGTTCGATCAGTTGCCCAATCGGAACTAATTAAATGTGATTAATTCAGTTGTTTTCGAAGCTTTGAAGTGGCAATAATCCAACGCTGACCGACATCTAACAAATGAACGCTATCTGGCCGACAATCAAAAGTGTCAAAACAGGAAAAGAAAAATTCGCCGCAATCAATTTTCTGTATAGAATACAATGCGGGCGCATAATGTATGCCGGAGATCGTATATAGTTGTTATCTCAGTTTGCAAATTTTGTTTTTCAAGGATCTTTCTATTTTAAAAAGGTTTTTTCCAACATGTCGAGCCACTATTTAACATGGACGAGTAACTCCAAAACCACTTGAATAACGTGCAAACAAGATATAGAAATGAACAAATTTTGTTGTTGAAATTGGAACGAAGGCCATTTAAAATGGGTGGTTCAAATGGGAAGTTTAATTTTCTTATTTGGTCGATTCCTACCTTATTACGATTAAAAACACAAGATTAAGTAATGTAAAGTGTAAACGAGTAAAATAGTTCGAGCTCCCCCCGAGAGCTTATATTAATTATTTTATTATATTCATTTAAAAATACTTTCTCTTTAGCTACTCTTGCTTTAGTGCATTGGAAACTGATTTTCCTGCAATAAACCGTTTTCAACTGCGAATCGAAATTCGGTCGCAGCATGTCTTCCGTACAACCAAGTGCATTAGCTAAACATGGAAATCCGTGTTAAAGTCTGTTTACCAATTCGTATTTATATTCGTAGTTTGGAATTTGAATTTCAAATGGTGCAAACATTCAATTTGGGTGCCGCCGTTACATGGAAACATGGAAAGAACACACCGTTGTGATACATGGAAAGCATACGGAACGAGTTTCACTACGATATTATTTTATTCATAATGGTTTCATGAAACAGTTAAATTGAACTGAATTTTTGGAATTGTTTAACGATTCTAATGCGATTATAGTTGATCTAAGTGAAAATTTTCAAATGAAAAACAATAATCGTTTTCTTCCAGTTCAAGCGCCAGTTGTCTTTGAAACCCCACGGAATTCTGTATTTCGATCACTCTGCAAATATAACATGCGTTCTTTCAACCCTGCAAATATAACGAAAGTGTTTATGGGAAATTTGTGCGAATATTTAACTTTGTTCTTTGACTTGTACATCTGCAAATCAATTTAACGGCAAATCAGAACAAATAGTGGCAACAATTTGTTATCCGGTTTCGGCGCGATAATAAGCCCCGAAAATTATATATCAAAATTATTACGCCATTAGTCAGAAAGCTTATCCCGAGCTTTGATAAATTTGTTTGTCGTGTTTACATGCCCTGAGTGACAAATTAACTGCTGCGTATATCGTTTCCTTTACCACACACGTCGTCTTTGGCTGATAGAGTGAAGATTTGCATCAAAGCGCTAGTATATTCTGCTTCAATTTAATGAACAACTATGAGAATTTGTTTAAAGAATGCAAAGAAAGTGTTGGAGGGGTGGCAACTCAATCTCTAACACTTAAAAACACTCAATTAAAATTAATAGTGCCGATCAGGGGGCGTGAAATAAAGGAATGTTTATCCTAATTTCTCATTCATACTTTCCTTACGCGTTAATTTTCAATTTCATACTAGAGCTGATTTTGACGCATTATTTACACTCAAAACGTGTACCAAACTAAAATTTCCAGATTTTAAATTTTCCTGGAGTTATTTTTAGGTTTGCTAAAGTCATTCATCAATTGAAATAGCCAATGAAAATTTAAACTATAAGAAGTATTTCCCCATTTTTTTGCTAGCGCAATTAAAAAAAATGTTTCCAAGTTTAGTAGGTAGGGGGTAGGGTGGGGTCATCCGTAGCATTCCCAATTAGGAACTGATGTAAATTCGAGATCTACATCAGTTCCGAAGCGGTTCTAGTTTTGTAGACTTTATTTTTAAGTCGCATTCTAGAACAATATTCTCGTCTTCAGTCTTGTTAGAGCTTATTATGGATGCTAAATTCTTGTAAAAGCCAACTTAATCTTCAAGTTTCTTAGAATTATTATTTCCAACTGTCATTCTAGATGATGATCTTGTTTTTAGCCATTTCAACTTATTCTTCACATTAAATTCTTAAAAGAGCCAAATTAATCTTGAAAACTTTTGACCCCGAATCTCACACCAGAGTAGCATGTTTTTTAGAGTTCTTGATGTTTATCATAATTTTAGCAAATTGTTGACACGAAATGATTTTATTTTTAACTTTTAAACGACAAATTTTTAAATTCAAACCTGCTCGACACTCTAATCTTAAGAGTCTTATAAAGACATGGTCTCTATGTGCTTAGTAGCAATTTCTGTGCTCTAACTGCTTGGAGCTTTGAGGGGAGAATTTTTTAAACAAAACTTGTATTGTATGAAAGGGATGTTTAATCTATCTTGTTCAATCTGTTAAATCTCTCTTCGGCATAATAGACGTTCGAACTTTGGCCCTCTGGTAGAGCTGTGCATTTCTTCATGCTGTGTAAATTTCGTCCTTTTACCTGCTAAAAGTTTTAAACGACGAATTTTTTAATCAGGTTTCATCTTTTTTTTTCATCAAAACAATTTTTTTTTCGGTCAATTTGAAAATGTTCTCAACATTTCGGGCCTCCCAAACATTTCGATATTGCCTCTTTAATAGAGCCATTGTTGCTCTATATTTGTGAGAAATTTGTGGTTTTTGTCGAACTCGTGGTAGAAACTGTGAATTTATACAGCAGATCGCGATGGACAGTGCAAACGACGCGCTGAAAGTACAAGTTTGAAAATATCCTAAAATTCACTCTCAAACTTGCTGAACACTATAATCGTATGCGCCCAATAAATACATTTTTAGAAGCAATCTCTTTGCTCTATCAGCTCAAAGCTGTAAAGGGCAAATTTTAAAAACAAAGCCTATATTGTATCAAAGAGAAGTTTGAAGAGCCATTTTGAGAATTGGCAAAATTCTCCGTTGAGTCTTAAAGACATTCGAAATGTGACTCTCTCATAGAGCCTGAACAACTCCTTACTTCATCTGCACAGATGTTTCAAGAACATGTCGAAACAAGATTTGTAATGCAAAAATTAAAATTTCGGCAAATCCACTCGGGCCTATGAATATTTGAAATTTGCCTCTGTAAGGGCCATTTTTTTACTAGGTCGTGATAGACAGTGGTTCCAACAGATGAAAACTAGGTTTAAGGATTTAATTATAATCATTAACAAAATAGGGCCGATTTAATAACAAAGTTATAATGTAAAGTTTGCAAATGTTGCAATAATTATTGGTCGAACACACTAAAGGAAATGACCGGTGCAGAATATTGAGCTAACTTAAAACTCAAGCCAATTAATAAAACTATGTATTTTTAATTTATAAATTGTTGCAAATAGTACCGACTAAACGTGTTTCACTTTTAAAACAAATAACGTTATTTTATATTTTCTATCATTATGTTTTGTATAGGTTTACTGAACTGAATCGACTTTTTTGCTGGCTCAAAAAATCCCCGAAGTGCAATTGCAATAAAAGCCCTGATTTGTCAAAAACCAATTTTCTCTTTCCTTTTCCTAGCAAATGCCTGCTAATGGAGCCGTTTTGTTTCAGGGAGAAAATGGCATATCGATCGACTTCAATGGTGGAAACGTTACCTACATCCCTATCAATGGTGAGTGCTAATTAACTTTTCATGTTTCATTTTTTTTATCTCGTCCATTCAATCTTTGCTCTATAGACTTTATTAATTATTGGATTCGCGTTGCCTGGTTTTCTAGTTGGTTGTCTAATTGGTTTGAGTTTCGATTATTTGCCCCAAACGCTTTTTAAAATTGATTTTGGTCGTCGAAAAAAGTCGAAAATTCGGATACTGTTGGATGAGAGTGAATTTTGATAACGATAAGATATAGGTATAGCAGTTTACAGATTATTGTACATAAATTTGAAGCTTATTACGTGAATTCAATTAGTAGAGTATTGTAAAGACATAGAAAATGTGGTTTGTTTAGCTGAAGAAGCTTCAGAAAAAAAATGTGATATCAAATCTTGATCAAAGTTGATACTTTAAACTTTTTGTTATTGACGAATTAAGGAAAATTCTCAGGCGGCTGAAGTAAGTAGAGTCTCCTCACGTTTTCTATGAATGAACAACGTTTATTCATAGGACACTTTAAATCCCCGTTCAGTATCATCAAGTATCTATGAAAAACGGTGCACAGTCTGCTTGCAAGATTACATATTAGGCGAACAAATGGTATCCTTAGCATGCGATGCTGGCATATAAATTGCCTCTGGCACTGCAGAAGACACGTTATCCTGAAATCACATTTTATATCGTCCGGATTTCCTTCTAAGCCCTTCCAGGTATGGGAGGGAACGATTATCCAGAACTGGAGTGGGCTACACGTTCACTACTCTGACATGCATTATCTGGGAGATAAAACTCTGTGGTTGTTCAGCAGATTTTATGACTTGGAGCGATATTATTAGTCGATTACTCAACCTGTTGCCCATTAAAAACAAATAGCCGTCTTCAGTTAAAACAAGTTTATATTTATCAGATACATGGGACAAATAAATTGGAACATATATTGCTCTGGAAGAGAATTAAATCTCACTTTTGGCACTAAAAGAACAATCATTAACGTAGCTGCTTTAGGAAGTGAGTTAATAAAAATATCCCGCTCACTTCAGCAACGTTTTTCCTGTGCAAACTTATGAAACTCGTCCAGTTTCCGCCGGCCATCTAATCCGAAAAGGAGTTATTTTCTTTCCACCTTTAGTACTCTCGTTCTGCTGCTTCGTTGCAAGTGTCACTAAACTCGATTTTTCTGACGTTAAAGCGTTTTCCCTAGATATTGCCGAGCTGGAAAACTCTATTCCCAAAACGGATGCTTAAATTTGGTTCTGTGTTCTTTGCGCGTGTTTTCATTTCACCGCGTTCAGGAAATTTAGTCGTTTTTCAAGGTGCTTTGAAAATTGGGGCTGAAATCGTTTAGCGGACACAACTAAAGCGGAAAATGTACTGAATTCATCTGGTTTTATCAGCGAATTTGTCGCCCTTTGAACGTTAGTGCACAGAGCCATATAGTATTTATCGAAAATAAGTGTTTTTCATCTAAATGATACTATTACTATGGTTGGTTATGGACACTACGTTGGTGTTTCTCATTTAATTTCTGGGTACAATTTTCATTTTGTACCCGTTCATGGATTTTAGAACCGAACAAGTTCCCAGATTAATGGTAAAATTCGGATCCTCCTCAGTCCTAAATTGAAGCAGCAGCTTTGCCACGCAGGTTTTCAGCGAATATATCGCATATCGTTGCCCTAAAATTGAAGAAAACAGTCTATTTATCTCTGAATTATTTTAACTGGCTATCAATATAATGGTCTGTAAACAATTTTTTTCAATAAACTTTCAATTCAAACAACAACTTTCAATAAAAATTAAAAAATTGAATAAATTGATTTTGAAACTGTGCTATTTTCTGCAAGAACGTGAGATATAAAACATTGGATACATTTTGAGGGCCTTTGAAACGTGCTAAATTGAAACATTTTTTGCTACCAGGTTGGGCATGCTTTCTTAAAAAAGTCGTCAATAATAGTCAGCTATTTTGAGCGGTTTCCAAGATAAGCCTCTTTAAAAATCTATCTAACTTCTATCTAAGGATGATTTCGAAAGATTTAGACGTTTTTGGAGATATTTAGAAGCTTCGTCTGTTTTTTAATACCAAAAAATATTTACACGTAAGTGTAATGATTTAAATTTGTATCAATTAAAAATGTAAATCTCTGCTATATATTTTTTTTCTGTCTACTGTTGTTGAGGGTAAAAGAAGTCCGTTGAATCCTTTTAGAGAGGTATCGCGTTTCCTTAAAAATGCAGATTTTTAATTCGGTATTGAAAGGCAATTGTCCGTCTTATTCAGTGCAAAAGATCGTTCAGTGAAAACTTGAATGCTTAGATACAAAAATCTAATCTGACAACAGAAAGATTTAATGACAATGCTACAATCTGCTTAGAAACCATTCAGGAAAAATAAGACAACTAACTAAATCGTGTACCTTTTGCTTGTTGAATTATTCGGAAGCTACACATTGCTTTGGATTGATAACTTTGATATTACTGTGACGAAAAGCATTGATTTGGGGGGAAAATAAAAAATCGGTTAATTGCAAAACCCGATCCGAACTAGTTGAATCGATCCGCAGGTTCCCATTTTCTAAATAATTCAGCAGCTTTCTTTTTCTTTGGCTCGTGGCGGTGACTTTAGCTGTGCACATTTCTTGAGCAGCAATAGATATAGTTCAGGGTTTTTTTAACGTCATTCTCTTCGTGTTATGTTAAGAAATAAAAACTGTATTTTAATCATTTGTTAGCACTATTTAGGTGTCTGCATTTATAAATGTTAGTAGGCTGTATTAAAATTGTTCCAGCGATTTTGGGCCGGTTATGAGATCAGAGAACTTTAGCAATATTTTAATAGACAAAAGTTTGTCAACTTTTTAAATATTTTCAACCAAAAGAAGAGCTTTTAAAACATGCAATCTTAACAAGCAAAATAGTAATCAAAATTAAACTCTACTTCTGTAGAGAATACAATTTCAGGTTACTTTGATTAGTCATTTTCTGGGACGGGGTGCGCTCAGCATGCAAAATTCAAAAAATTTTCAGATATTTATATTGATACTACCACAGGGTGAAGCATGATAGTAAAACAACGCAATGTGGTAAACCATAACGATGCAGAACACTTGATTTTATCTTCACCCAAATTTTCATTAAAATATCCACTAACTAAAAAAAATTGCAGTGCGGATAATTTTTGTATGATTGATATATTTTGTGAGGTCAATATGCTCTAGTTTCCAGCTTATCAGGCGAATGTTCAAGGCAACTTGTGTTCGCTTGCTAGGATTTATATGGTTACAAGAGCTCTAACAGGGTTAGTTTTTCAAATTAGTCAATGGCGTTCCACAAGCTGGGTTTTTATGGCAACTTTTCTGATTCGAATATCAACACTGTCAACTTCTATGGAAGCAAATTCGGTTTACATGCAAATAAACCTTGAAAAACTGGTTCAGCTTCTTCGCGCCGAATATAAACATCGTAATTATTACTATTTATCAGTTGGCATATGTTTGAATGAACCGTGCACTATCTTGAGGCAGTGTTAACGGTAACGTAGAATACTTGGAAACATTGCATATCTAGAGCAAACAATACTCGAACAATATCGGTTTTAATTAAAATTTGAGCAATTTGAACGATCGTGAACATTGTGCTTGCAATGAAGGTAAGCGCCCACGCACGCACCTAAAGGCAAAATCGAATTTAGATGTGAAACACAGCAATGTAATATTTAGGGAAGCAAATAATGGAAATAGCAGGAAAAGGCGACAGATCGATTGACATGGTTAACTAGACTCAGTGGTGGAGATCAGAATTGTCACCCTCAAATTTCATGTTTGCGTTACAATCTTCCATACTTCCATATTAGATCTGGTGGCTCATCAGGCTCAAGAAAGTTCACATTTTATCATCAAGAATACTGTCTTTTTGTGTATTTTACCATGCGATTCTTCTAGTTGAAGTTTTGGTCATTTTTCCTCAAAACAATAGTCGTGATAGACAGAACAGACATAGATAACGTACGTGTTTGTTGATGTTTCCACGCCACTGGTCAGCAGTTCCCGTGCCGCCCTCACCTATTTACCCCTAAAAAGTTGTAGTTCTATTCGGGTTTACTTACCGATGCAGTTGCGGGATCCAGCGCTAAACGGAATATACGAGAAATTGTGTCTCTCGCTCATTTTTTCGGGAAGAAATCGGTCCGGGTTGAATTTTTCGGGATCTGGGAAGACTGCCGGATCGTGTGCCATGCCAAAGAGGAAAATTGCGATTGTCGTGTCTTTGGGAACGGTGATTCCATCTGAAAGCACAATGGAGCAAATCGCCCATGATTAAGCAATTTCATAAGTATTAAGTTGAGCGCGGACAAACGTTTAAGCAAAAGACAGTTTTTGTGAAAGTTTGTATTGAAAATATCTGGGTTTGGGTTTGACTTGAATTGTTCGTGATTTAGGAGTGGACAGTGAATTAACGCCCACAAGAAGTAGAATTATGTGAACGAAAATTGAGATTTGTTATAAAAAAAATACCAACCTGAACTAAAGGAGTTCGAAACTAGTAGCTATCAGGTTTCTAAAACTTCACTGATTTTTTAGGAGTTTTAGATGAAATTTTATGCAGTCAGACAGGACGATGGACAATTCGTTGCTTCAACGACGAGTCAATGAATTTTCCCCCGTAAACTGAATTGATTCTACCTATACATATAGTGAAAGCTTCTAATTTATTCTGCCATGAAGATAACTTTAGGGCAATAAGTACAATGTGGATAAAATTCAAGTTTTTACGTACGAAATATGGAAGTTCTTCTAAGTTTTCATAGAATTTTATTCTAAATTCAACAGCAATAAAATATTTTTGAGTCTGACTGTGTTTATTGCGAAAAATTGAAATTTTAATTTATTAATTTCAGAAGAATTTTAAAAGTTGAATCATGAAAATATTGCATTCTTTAATTTATTGTTATATTATGATTTTGTTTGAATATTACCGTTCATCGTTTGAATGCGATGTCCAGTTGGCATTTTAATTTACGAAAAACTAGGAAATTTTAATTAATTTTCTTTATTTTATTACTGAAGAATCAGATTTGCCGTTCAGGCCAGGAATCACATACCTAAAATGCAAAAGTTGTTTGTTTTTGCTTCCTACAAAGTGTGTTTGTTTTCCTCCATCCTTCACGATATTACGTTATGAGAACGATTATAATATACATACAAATCCATTAATTTAATTAACTTAAGGATTAACGATTACTTGAGCTCATTACTCTCAGCTTAGAATTTATAAAAAATATATAGTCAGTCAATGCAAGGATTTTGAAAAATTTATTATAATTTTATGTTATTTTACTTCACGGCTTTGCATATTTGTAAGCCTCTTTTTAAAGAGTTTATGCAGATAAAGTTGATGGCTCGACTTTTTTTATAACAATAGGCCACCTTGGATTACACAAAATAGTAGGTTCAAAATTCCAAACAGTTTGGTCTATTTGTTTCAAATTAAATATGTTTTCATCTATTCATCCTTGTGGGTTTGATCGTAGGAAAATCCTGCGAAATGTAGAGTTTAAGCCCCTCAATCAGCCAAATATCCCGAAAATTATAAAATTTATTAAAATAAATTAAATCTTGAATTCTCAGTGTCAAAAATGTGCAGTGTTTTTCAAGTAAAGTCGAGTCAATCAACACTATATGCATAATACGATTTGAATAGATCATTTGAACCGTTCTTTATACCGTGGGTTTATTCTTTGGAAACTTGCTAACTACTAAAAAAGATACTTTGCTGATTCCATTACCAAGGGGAAACGAAAACTTGCTCTGAATATACGGTACTTTAAATATAATTATAAAATATCAAATAATAATTATAGAAAAAAAATAGAATTTTCATGTATAATATATATATATATATATAAAAAATAAGCGAAAAATATGAATTTTATCGGAAAAACTCATGAATGAAACTTTTGAATGGTCACTGGCAGAAATTTGCAGTGTTTTTCAAGTAAAGTTTTGTACATCAATATATATCTTTCCACTGTTTTCATGCCGTGATTGCTTAGAAACTTGATATCTACAAAAAAGGTATAATTTATGCTTCTGTTAAAAAAAAACGCTGAAAGAAACAGTTCACATCAGTTAGTTTGTGTAAATGATCTAGATGGCAACTGACACTCTGGAACTTTTGACCATAATGAAAACCTCCCGAAGAATCTTCATTGTCGTCCGATGCGTGATTATATTCAGAAGGTTGATAATTGTGCAAAAAATCCGAGGTAAGTTCATTACTTTCGCCCTGATCAGCATCGAGCCCGCAACCCCAACCAATTGAAACTTTCCTTTGTCAAGGCAAACAAGAAAGCGATATCCAAAATTGTCTCCGTTTGGCGTTTCCAACCCCCATTCCAGGTCAACAAAATTACGATCAAAAATAAGTTTACCTTTGCTAGTATCTCGGCATTACAATGGCCCTTTGATGGCATTGTCCCTTTCAGATCATTCTTCAGACGTTACCTCTTCCGGAGGAACAACAGCCCGAATTCGAAACCCGACCTTAATTGGACGTTAGAGTACGTACGCTCGGTTCGCTCTTTTTCCAGGTCGATTTTTCGATAATTTGTTTACTTGTTTTGGTGGGATGTTTTAAGTATTGGATTTCGGGCTCGGCTAACAAGATCAGCAACATGGTTAGGCGCAACCAAATCTGATTAAAAAGAAAATTGGAAATCTTACCGAATTGAGATGAAAACAGTTAGGATCGGGAACTTCTATCAACGCTTAGCGTGATGATGTGTTTCCAAAGTCTGATCGGCATATTTTAAGCATACTAAACGCGCCTTTTTTTTAATTATTCACTTTTAAACAGAGTGGGTCCGAAAATGTGCAGCGCAGACAACAATGTCTTTCTAATAGAACGCCCTATATTTTGTTTAATTTTTGAATTCTTATTAAATTTTTTATTAGTTTTTATTATGAGAAATGCGAAAGGAAATTGGGTTGTTTTTCAGTTATGGGTTTCTAACCAGTTTCGAGACTTACTTTATTAAGTATGGGAAAAGACAAACGCACAAAAGTCTGAACGTACCGATGTTCGCCTTTCTGAGTTTTTCACTTTAAATTAAATTATTTTCGAATATTTAAAGCGCATTATTCACATTGTTCTTACAAAATTCTTATAAAACTTCTTCTATGTATCATCGCTCACAAACATACTTTAAAAGAGAATTACAATATTTGTGTACAGTGAGGGAACAAGAATGTTCATTTAACAGTCGAGTTCGGTAAATGTAAATTTTTTCGTGGCTATTTTTCGGTTTAAAATAACCGGAAATTCCTGAGGTTTCATTCCAACAAAACTCAAATTTCACATCGATTGACGAAACCCWCTCAATAATTAAGCCATCAATTTCTCTTACATTATTTAGTCAGCAACTGAGAATATTTTTTGAACGTTGTCGATAGAACACATTGTGAATMACAAACGTGTGATTTTTTTATGATGGAAACATGTTTAAACTTTTATATTCTTATCACGTCTTACCAATTTTCCATTCCTCTTCAGTCTTCCGTTCRATCAAAGGCACCGGTTGATAAACCCTTAACGCTTCTTTAACCACAATGTCCATATATTTTAGGTCATTGAGCTTGGAGATGGTAATCTCAGTTTTGGGATCTTTGCCAATAACCTCGCATAATTCTTCGTATACTTTGTCCTGGAATTTTGGATTTTGTGCCAAGGCGTACAGGGTGAAACATATCGCTGTTGCGGACGTGTCGTGTCCCTAGAAATGCGGTTACTTTTGCAAGGATGTTGCTGAATGGATGCGGTTATTTAATACTTCAAACATGAAAGTATTCACTTCGTCTCGTATGTCTTTGTCGGACAAGTTTTCGCCGTGTTGGTTGGCTTCCAAAAGCATGTCTAGGAGGGCTGATCGGACTTTTATACCATCATCCCTGATCCCAGTCATCTGCAAATTGTTTGTATTCTGATCCAAAGTTGAGTGTTTCAGCTACTTTTATCAGTTGCATCATTTGTAAAGCAATATTTAAGGAACATTTTCAGAACTTGACACTTTTTTCAGCTCAGTTAACATACTCTAAGAATATTTTCGACGAGCGTTGCAGTTTAAGTTTTATGCGCAAATTGAGTACTATTTTGATAATGAGGTTTTAAATTTCTCATCAATCTGACGATAAACTTGATATTGTGGAAGATGGAAAGCTACAAGATCAACTGAGGAAAAATATGCGGGCCACAAAAAATGTTAGTACGACAGACGAAAATAGCTTGAAAAGATTGAGAAAGCTATAGACAGGAAAATAAGAATGGATACATTGAACTGAAAGGAAAATGAAGCACAATAATAGAGAAAAAATGATATAGCATCTAGGGTCACAACGAGAATGAAATGGGGTAGAAAATACTAAGAGCATGAATCGAAGCGAAAGAGGAAATAGAGGCATCAATAGTGCCGAGTTAACAGGAGAATTTGCAGACAGACCAAGACGAAATGGAAACAGAGAAGGAACATGTGTTCCAAAAAACAGGAAATGAATGAAAAAAACTGTTTCGGTTCCACTTCGGAAATACATAAAATAAAATCCGATATGAAATATTATTAACAGAGAAGAAAAATGTATGGGGAAGCCAGAGAAGAGATATATCACACTGAAAACAGGTTAGTAATAATAGCAGACATAAATGGCAGAAAATATTAACAAAGCTGAGATGCAAAAAAAGCAAATGTGGCAAGCGAGAGAAATATCATGCAGACAGATTGATGAACGTTTGTGCTTTGAACAAAGTAATAGTTAACACCAGAAATCAAAATCCACTAACGACGCTCTTCTATCAGTATATTCGAGCCCAATTAACGCAAAATGCGCTCTATTTCCACAGAAAATTTAAAATGTTTTTATAGAAAAGGCGAATCACACATAAGCAGCATAACAGATACAATTTAATCCGATATAATTAACAACATTTTAAGAGATTGAGAATATAGAAGATTCTAAATATATCAGTGATGCCAGGCGGAAAAATATATAACAAATATGGTTGGAAAATACTGACGACAGCTAAAACGAAAGAAAAAAGTGGCAACAATAAATGAACCAATTAAACCAGGTAAAGTAGGAGACCCTGAAGAAGATCAGATATATCAGAATACGGAAAGACAAATGAACAAATGAAAAATTGGACGTGGACCTAAAAATTGTCTATAAAACTCTGCCTGGATGCTGAAATAAGAAATTCTAACTCACGAGAATTATTTCCAGGGTTCGATTTGCACCTACATATCCAGGGACGCAGTTTTAGGCCTTACCTGATGACGGTTATTTCATAAAATAACCGAAACATGTCATTTGTAAATATATCACAGTGGACTTTAGCCGACGCCTTATTTACCCAATACGTACTCAAGAATGAGCACCTCTGATTTAAGCGAAATATGAATAATAATACCTTTCCATGTTTTGCAAATTCTTCTTTTCTTTGTTTGATGACTTTCTCACAAAACTGGTGCAAAGTGTCCAATGTTTGCTGGTAGATCTTGTATGGTTCGGTAAAGCGGAAGAAAAGCGGATGCCCCATCCAGCCCGAGTAGAAGCGAAAAACGAAAATTTCCAGAAAGTCCTTTACAGCGGCTACGTATTTCGGGTTTTTCTGATTCTGGGCCCCTATCGATGTCCCGAAAGCTGTTTCTGAAAACAAACCTTGGACATTAAAACTATGCGAAGGGTATGTTCCACTTCCCAAGCCCTAATCGACAAAAAATTCGTTCAGCATTGTCTCTCATTAAAACTAGTTAAAGTTAATCGTCAGCTTTGCTTCCATTCGAAAGTTTCAAGAGAAAAAATTACCGCAAATTATATCTAGGGACATCAAATTAATAAACGGGAAAATGTCAAAGGTAGATCCCGGAGCTTTTTTCACCGCCTCCATTAACTTTTCCAGCATCACGTTAATCTGGTAGTTGAAGATTTCCATAAAATCCTCCAACACTTTAAAGTGGAAAGTGGGCGTTATCATCTTCCTGCGTTGTCTCCATTTTAATCCTACAGCCACATTAAAAATAACACCCAATTTTACAAAGTACGCCTGCCTTACCGGTGCTTACTAATAAGCCATCCCCAAGCCAGGGCTTAAACAAATCGTAACCGTTTGATTTCGATAGGTGAACGTTGGAGTTTAGCAAGTCTTCCAAGTATTCGGGTTTGTTGATAACTAGTCTTAAGGTTGGGCCAGTCCATAACTTGTAGAAGTTTCCGTATTGGTTTTGCAATGATAACAGAGCTTCTAAATAATCTAAACAAAATTTAGTGAGTTATCTTTAATTAACTCTTCCGAGTACGTTGTCACTTGAAAATACGAGTAAAAAAATGTTTTCAAACTGTATGCAGAGCAGTGCTTTCGAATAACAAATTAAACATTGTAGCATTGTATCAACAGGAAAAAAACACTGCAGATGCACTAAATTAAGCATGCAATTGAAGCCTGATTGGTTGCTATTTAAGGCGATTTAATCAATTATGTAATGGAAAAAATCGTATCTTGTTACTACTGAACAAGAATTACCGTAAAACGCTTTCAAGTTCACTGATTTTTTTAGTTCCAAAATTGATGGTCTTTAATTGAAGATTGCAAAAAAATCGTATGCTTACCAGAGGGCGTTTGTCCGAGCAAGGATGTATTTCCCAAAATAGGAGTCGGTTTAGGCCCTGGAACATCGCTCAAACTTCTGTTTTTGTATACATTCACATACCAGTTCACTAATGGAGTTAAAATAACTGCCAAAAGAACACAGGCGATGGGCAAAACCAAGCAAAACATTGATGAAAAAACGAAAAAAATGTGTGTATCTCTATGTTCCTCTGTTTCAACACTGCATAAATATGCCAGTGAATGTTGGTTCTATTTATGGCAAATTGACTAAATCTGTCTGGAAACTGTCGAGGTTATTTATTAATTTAATTCGGGTTATCTTGAAGAGGTTCAATATTGGGCAAAAAGTGTAATAATGCGACTTGGATGTTCTAGACAGATAATGCAAGTTTAGTAAAAACAATACGCAACTTAAAATATTCAAAATTAAATTACCCTGCTAAATGTATATGTTAAAAAGTCTACTATTTAAATTGTTTCATGTCATTTTTTCCAGCGGTTGAACGTTACCAGCGGTTACCTGGACGAAGAATTTGCCTTTGTTTTATACAAAAAAGTTACAAAGACAAAAACGATAAATTACTGATTATTCGGTGTTTTCTTCTTGTGCTGTTAAACTTAACTTGTAAGAAAATGACGAATAAGACAACAACTAAATTAATGTCTAAAACATACTTTATTTACGAATGCATTTGGCTTCTTATTTAAGATAACATTCGTGTAATAAAATTGCCACAAAATTTGACGGAATATTAACGAATCGATCAATATAATAATAATCAGGAAAATTGCACCCACAGGCCGTTTACTCACCAATTAAATTTGTCTCGTAAAGTTACAAGTGAATTTAAAGCGATGGAAATAAGGAAGCAAGCTTCCGACAAACACACACAATTTGTAAGTTAGGCGGACTTGAACTTTTAGAATAATGAGAAAACTTCTTCAAACAACTTCGTCCTGGGCTGCAATCGGGAATATTCGTCTGGTTTGCGACTAGTACGTTCATCTAAAGCGTTTCCATCTTAAATCCTGAGTGGAAAATTGCAGAGTTTCAATTTACAGCACTGGAACAGTTCAGACTGTTTCCTTAGGTGAAACTGTAATTATTCTGGAAATTTTCTACAATTGAATTACGTTTTAGTGGGGTGTTGGCAAAATTTGAGAGCCAGACCGAGAAACGTAGCAGTAAAAAATTGAAAATTTGCACAGACGAATTATCAGAGAGAATTTTGATATACTGTATTATCCCACTATTGTTACACAATTTAATAACAATTAACATACTCTTTTTTAGGTTCATTTAGGTTCTTTTGATAACGATAGCAGAAAATAGCTATC